TTGCAGAAAAGCCACGGTTAGTGACCTGTCTTATGTGATATCATCATGTGCAATCAGCGATGTTGGTGACTTGATCAAAGAGCCGTCCGAGTACTTGGCCTCATTGTTGGACGTTCAGAAGGCACAATCGATCTGGATGTGGCTGAACATTGTGCATTCATTAGCCATATGCAAAGCACTCACACCCGCTCTTGCTGAAACAGTGCTAAGAGTTGAATTTGTTGAACATTTCACAAAATTGTTCGTTTTTTCAACCGCTCTCTGTTTATAATTTTGCTTTTCTTCAGCTATCGGCAAACTCAATTCAACCCAGTTCATTGTACCATTGAGGCTTACTCAATTGATTCAAATTGATCAAACGTTCAGCTTTGAGCCAAATTTTCTCCTCCTCAAATACGCTGTCACAGATTGAATGCTCACATGTAAAGACAACTGATCTTCTGGGCTCAGTGATGGTGGACTAGTGATTGACCAGAGTTATTAAAAAGTATCACTACAGAGATGATTTACCGAAGAAGGTATTCGCCTTATCGAAAATAGCGCAAATACAGGCTGTTGTCGATACAGCATTCAAAAGCACTTACAAGGGACCATCATTTAGTCTCGAAAATGTGCTCACGTTGGACAAACAAACAGTAAGTGAATTATTTTTTCCTGTTTTCATTTTGTGAAATTGTATGATTGGTATATTTCTGGTGCGGATTATTTTTGTTGTTGATGATTGTTGTGTTATTGTTAGTGTTGTTGTCATCATTATTGCCTGTGATTTGATATCGATACGTCTCCACATTACGACGACTAACGGCAATGAATGAATTTTCAGAACAACGCCGCACTTCTGATAAAATGTGGTCGTAAAGAGGCGTACGATGCGGAATGTTTTCATAGCGTTCTCTACAAACTCGCACCGCTGAATACTCATTCGATAGAGCCATCGTTGAACCGCGATGGCTTCCTTGTCGATGCAACTGTGCAGTTGGACAGCAGTAAACGATTCGTGCCCGTCACAAACTTCACTTCGTCGAATAAACCGAAAATTGCTGTCGTTTATTTGGGACGAAAACAGTGCACAATAACGGTATGTTGATACGGCTGTTGGTCCTTTTGCTTTCCAGCAATTTACTGAGCTGTTGTGAAAGTGCCATTGCTATTTTTCTCATATATTTATTAATTTGCATTTATGTATATAACATGATGAAATAGTATGAATTTCAAAGCAAAGAGATATATGGAATGTTAGGAGTGTTTGTAGATTTTTGATCATTAACTCGACGCTATTGAGTAATCGAATGCAAACAATCCATATTGTGAAAGGTGTTACAGATTAATGATAAAAAATTTATCATTTCGTTCAGTGCTACAAACGAATGGTAAACAACTTAATCGGTTTGTTGAAAGATTTGCGTTTTTTTTGTTTTTTCAGTGTGACGAGAATGAAGAAAGTCGTCCACTGGGTCAGATATCACTTGGATTGCGATTGCTGAAAGCGAGAGGAATGATTCCGGTTACGTTCACCGAACTTGAGCTGAAATCAAATAAATTATTATCGCAAAAAATTGAATTCATCAAAACGAAACTACAAAATGCCATCAAATCGCCTGCATCAAAGTTTAACAAATAGTGATCCAAATAATTGTCAATTGTCATTGCTCTGAAACGATATCATCGAATTGCTACGAGCTAAATGGAAGACTCAAATGACTGTAATTATGGTGACGAACAAATGCCAATTGCATTTATGTTTCTTGACGAAGACGTAAAATTTTTGAAAGTGGCAATTGATGTGTCACGTTATTATTCTGATGAATATTTTACGGAAACGTCATACTGCTGTATGAACTCCATTGTAGCGATCGCTTTAGATGCGATAGGTGATTGTGTTGCGTTATTTTGTGATGAAATTGTCGTCATTCATTGCGTGCGTTCAGAATTGATGGATTGATTAGTCATTGTATGACTGACTTGTTCTGTTTTTCATTTTGAATTCTTCGTTGTTTCACACAATAAAGTGAATGTCATTATGTGAATAATTTCATCGAATTTCCTAACGAAAGCATGGATTATCCTTTGATCCGCGATAAGTATCTTGTTGCATTGTCCGTTANAGTTGTCATCTTCAGATGATTGCATGTCATAAATGATTGCCCATAAGTAATTCACCGGGTGCATCCACTCATATTTAGCCGAACCACTCATATTCAGACGTATATTCAATGATACTAATCACTAATAAGTAACCCACCTGGTACATCGTTTCGTATCGCTTTGTACTCCATCATTACCAAATTTTAGTGATCAATTACCGTGTCACGCATATTCAATGATAATAATCACTAATATGACCGTATTTTTCGATATTCAAATGAAAGTAACTTTTGAATTGTTTTTAGTGAATTGTGATGCAGTCATGATTGGTTTATTTCAGAATATTTAGTGTTGAACGTCATTTGATGGATGGTGACCTGGCTGCGGATTATCCGAAAACGATGGATTTTTTACGATTCGGCAATGCAATCATTGCAAATCAATCGCTGCAAGAGTACTGCAGCCAAAAGGGTTATATGATTATAATGATCTTCTTGGTGCGTCGCATCATTATCTCATTTTGCATTTCGTTCAACGACCAGCAGACTGCTAAAAATTATCCGCCTTTGATTCATCCAATAGGAAAATGGAAATATTAATGTATTTTTTTGATCACTTTTCAGTTGATTAAGTCTTTGTTTGCTTCGTTTATTAATTTTTCGTATTTCTCTGGTCTTTTTTCTGTATCATTTATGAATATTTATTCTTTAGCATTGCTATTGAAGGATGATTTGGTGGAATTACCACAGATCGGTTTTTCGGTGTTAAGTGCGGACGATATCGAAAGGAACGATTACAGTCTAGAACCACTCATATTCTATAAAAACTGGGATGAGTGGCAGACAGAGCCAGATTTGGAATGGGCACATAAAGGAGTGAAGAAACGTTTGTTTAAATCTGATGGAACAACTTTCGATTGATTTTACAATCGCTGTTGTTGAATATATTCGTAACACATGGAAAATGTTCATAATAATATCCTAATTATTTTTGTTATCATCACATTATTATTTTTATCGCACTGCTCTTTTCGTTATTAGTGATTTTCGTTGAGGATGTCTTTCATTTCGAATTGATCCAACGTTTCAGTTTAAGATGTTGTGTTTAGTTTTTAGTGAATGCGACGAACACTTTTGTGATCACTTCAGATGATATTTTACGCATTTACGTTCAATTCGACGAGAACAAATTGTACGTCCGATATCGTCTCAACAAGAATCAAACGAGTCAAGAACGCTTGTTCAGACTACCGCCCGAATATCGAAGTGTTTATTTGGCACTGGCAGGCCCGTGCATTTTCGACGAGCACAAAGCAGTGAGAATCAATTTTTATTGGAATATTGTTTCCACTTTATCCATTTAACGTATTCAGCGGATCACACAACAAATACACAGTTCGAATATTATATTATTCGTTAACATCTTAGTGTCATTTATTGGTGACAATAATGATCTTTCATTATGAATTGAGTAAAACCATCAGTACGTTGATCCATCCTTGTTCGAAGATGGTGCTCAAAACGAAGTGATTTATGCTGATTGAATTTTATTTTCTTTGTGGGCGAGACGAAAGGTAGGGTTAGTGCAAGAACATTGACAGTGCTATGTGCTTATGTCACTTGTTGATCATGATCTGGTCAGCGCAGAAGTGCTCAACGGTCAAATATTAATGGTAAAGAAACTCGCAGTCATATTCTCATAATTCGGTTCAGTTGCGATTTTCTCGTTCGTCGATGTTTTTGTATTTCACATAGGCAGTTCTTAAACTGTTACAGATATGCATCACTGACTGTGAACAATCGCAGTGTTAAGGGCCATGCATCTAGACTGTGATTAGTTGAGTAGATAGTTCCAAACAATAATAAGATGATGTCGAAGTTTACTACCGGTTTTTCGATGATAAGCCAACTCCACTGATTGTGAGTGCGGTGAATCAGTAATAGTCAAGTATGACTTGCGAAGATTTTGCGTTTTTTTTGTGGGCACTTGCCGAGCATTTCTGAGTCGTATTGAAGTCAACTTTGCAAAGATGTCGAGAGCTTCAGATTGGCTGTGTGTGACATAAATGATGTTATGGTGCCTAAAACGGAACCTAACTCGAAGCTGATATGCACAACTTTTTGCGAAGTAATGTTCGATGCTGTACAAAATTTGTCAAAAATTTCAGAATAGTTGTAAGATAGCAATAATGGACAGCGAGCAGTTGATGAGGTTTTTTGCACGTCAGAAGGATATTCGATGTAACGCCAACCTGGATACAATCGTGACGCAACAACAGCAACAACAAGAGCGACGTTCATCAGAGATGCAGCGAGAAGAAATTGATGAAGATGTCAAGAGAACAGTTGAAAGTGTTGCTAATTCAACAGGTAAAAATCACATCCAACAGGAGGCATCGGCTACAGCAACTACTAATAATGTGGAAGATGAGGTCAAATTTGAGGTTTTTATGTCACTTTCGTTTCCAGCACTTCTGCTGTTGTATACCGATGTGATATGAACATTGTTTTGGGTGTACATCGTATATTCGTAGCAGTATATCATTTGTTCGTTTATAACTTTGCATAAATTAGATATTATATCTACTATCATTGACTGGTTGGTATGAGTTCATTTGAGTGTTGTTAATAGCAATTTATTTGTGCAGGATGTCATACCGGAATGTGTAATATGCAGAGAACGTAATATTGATGTGGTATTTCTACCGTGTAGACATGCCGTATGCTGCATGACATGTAAGGACCTATGCTGTCAAGAAACAAAGACTGTTTTAACATCACCATCTACAAAACAACGACCAACATGTCCAATTTGTCGTACTGAGTGTAAGTGTTGATGTTATCAATGTTTGTCCTTGTCACTGTTATCAATTCAGTTTTTACTTTGGTATATTTTCATGATGAGATTATATTATGCAACGGATTAACACGATCACTAATCAATCGTCATCAAAATTCAGTGGGGAATTTCGGTAGGATTTGGTTCTCGAAGGATCCGGATTGCAACGAGTATCGTTGTCGTTTATGTGGATGCAATCAGTTGACAGCAGCTGCCGGAGGTAACGATGGCTGCGGTTGTGTGATTGGGTGCTATGAGAAAGCGGTTGAAATGCTGCACCCTGGCGATCCGTGTCCTATTTGTGGCAAACCAATTCACGAAATTATACAGCTTTATCTGCAACAGTTTGAGTAGTAGTGCTCAATTGGTTCAATGCCTTATGTCACTAAAATCTTTTCAACATTTCAATGATGTTGTCGATTGAGTTAGCGAGCGATCATTCATATGTTTTGTTTGCCTTATTGGTAGCATTATCGTATTGTTCGTTGTGCTAATGCTATCTTTACTCTTCTTATTGCTACTGTTACTATTGCTAATGCTACCTTATTCGCTTATTGCTGTCAGTCACGGTATCGTTANTGCTGTAAAAATTAATGTTCTTAACATTATTTCATGCTTATGAATTGATTTCATTCCAGTTGTCGTCGATGTTATTATTATTCACATTTTGTTTCATATTAAGTTTTGGAAAGGTTTTTAAATTTGTCGTCCTTGATGAAAAGAAGAATGAATGGAGAATAGTTTTGAGTGATCTTTTTATTTGAAAAATTAAGAGAAAATCTTTTGAAATTAAAATTTTCGCTATCATTTGAGCATTACTGTCATGTGCCATATCGTTATTTGGATATTATTCACTTCTAGTTGCTCACTTCATTGTTAGTTGCTGTTAGTTGCTCACTTCTATTAGACGAGGTTCTTCGTAGCTGCGATTGCGTGCAATTCAATTTCTCATTCCCTCTCGCAGATGATCTAACTGATACTCTTGCCCTACTCTCTTGTTGCTGCACTCGATCGTTTTTGCTAGATAAGCAACAGTTCCCGAATTTATCAGTTTTCGTGGTTACAGATTTGTCTTACGATTAGCACATTCATTTATTCTCTAGTGTTGCTTTATCATATCACTTATCCAGTGTCGTCGTTTCATCCACATCCTACGGTTATCAATTTCTTTTCAAATCATGCCTTCATCCTTCTCACTATCATTCCTCAATGATGCCCTAATGGCAAAAACAGATCTAGTATTGTTTGAATATCCCATTCATTAATTCATTGCTATTCAGTTGCCGAAAGAATTTATCTATTTTCTCATTCATTTCAAACTTCAGTTCCAAAAACTTCAGCGATTAAAGTAGTTTTCTGTGGTTGATATTGATATTACTCTTTGTGCAATATTGTTCAAGAATATGTATTAAGTGAATTAATTCACTTAACTTCGCTACTTTATCATTGTATTGGTTAATTGTATTTTATTGTATACTGTAGTGTTTTCGTACTAGTTTCATTATTATTTCTTTTATTGCATACCTTTTTCAATTTTAATGTTCTCATTATCATTGTTCTCATCAAAACGGTTATCTTAATTTCTTTTAACTTATGTGTAGCCCAGTGATTATTGCTCTATGAAAACAATGTAATTTTCTCGAATTGTATACGGTGGCCGTACACTTAACTGTGGTGAAATTGTAAAGAAATACTGATTCATGCATTGATCAATGTTATTAGAATTGTAACCGACATTATCATTGTTATTGTTATTATCATTTCATTGAAATTATCATTACTATGGTTATCGCAAACATCATGAATCGTAATAAATCTATGGTTTTTAAAGTGCGAGAAGAATCATTCGATGGGTGCTCGCGATTCCAATCCATCATCAAAAGCAACGCATTTGTCGATCGCTCTCCTGCGATACCTTCATCAATCTATCCATTTTGAACTCGTAACTCTGATTTGTGTACTTTTTTTGATTTTTTCGACTATTCGGCAGCTTCATACTAATTGCTCATTTCTTAGTTGACGTAAGTTTGTTAAATTATTCCTCCTTTTTTCATCAAATTATCATCCGAAAACTTGATCATTGTTGCATGTGTTACATTTAGAGACCATAACGATTAGAAGATGATCATAGGAGGAGGGTTCATGTTATTGATAATAAAATTGGATTCTGAGTGAAGATTTTGTGTGTCGCTCGATAACGTCTGCTTGACAGTGTGCTCATATTTACGCAGCTGTGAAACCGAGTGTTTTTGTGGATCATCGCCTTTGATATTGTTATTGTGGGNGGGATATAATACAGTGCGAGATTGAAGTGATTGAGAATAAAATGATGTCAACACAGTGGAATATTGTCATTCAGCGAAATAGCATCCAAGTTACGCCTCTTATTTTTTCCTTTTTCTGTCTCCAATGCCTCATTGTTGAAAATATATCCAACTGATCATTTAAATTATTTATTAACCACTAATTCAATCACTCTAAACAATTGCGTTCTAAACTTCTCTGAACAGCAATGCATTTGGTAAGCTGCTTCCTTTATTCCATTCAGCATGTTTTATCGTTTGATTTATCGTACATTTTGGCATTTCCTTTATGGTGTTGACATTATTACACTAACAAAAGGTGAGTATCAGTTAAGGAATCGAACTCTCCGTCTTCTTATGTTTTTAGCACTTCAATTTATGGCTTTTAGTCACCATCTCTAGGAATCCTCTCAATTGGAAGACAACACTCGCGAGGGGTTTCATGATGTGAAAGTGATTGTTTTGTGTGCGTATGAGAATGCAAGACTGATCGTGAGATAGATGGATGAATGAGTCTTTTGCTGAAGATTTCGTGTTGATTGCGATGCAAATTTTTGTTTGGTATAACACGGCACAGAACTGTTTTGAACATTGAACAATTATTTTCTATCGGAGGATTTGGAATTTGATTGAGTTGATTGATGTGAAATTAATGCATTGAAATGAACGTTTTAGATAAACAGAAACTTCTCGTTCGCGAAAAAAAGTTTCAAGCTGGCATTTCGCAAGAAGCCAAAACTAGATCACGATGACGCTGCTGCGGCTGGTCATGATGGCGACTCGACGAAATCGCTCGATCAGACGAAATCGGTCGAACAAGGAACAACCGATGATGGTCAAGGGGAGCGAGAGCAGTTGAAAGAATCGAGCGTTGTGGATCGACGAAGTCAAGATGAAGAAGACGATGAAACGAGGAAAAAACACGATGAAGCGTTGAAAGAAACTAAAGAGGTTGGTTGGTGTTTGTTTGATGCATTTTTCAATGGGATTTTCCATTTTGTGTTATTTTCAATTTTTCTTTCATTTTCTGCTTCACTAAATTGTAAAATGCTTGATTTTAATGGTTGAAATTGGTGATGAGTGAGTATTGTGAAGTTGAAAATATTTTGCGTTCCGCGTTTATTTGCTTTGTGCATGGTCCATTGGTTTGCTATTAATAGTTTGTTATGGTGATGTGCCCAAGCGATTTTCTGTGAACTGATCATACCTTCTGATATAATTGCCTTTTGTTGACTGATTATTTTGTGTTTTGCTTCGTTTTTCCCATGTTCGGAGGGTAAATTCGTTGATTTCCGCTTCACTTTGTTGGTTCTTCTGGTTCTGTTTTGTTTTACTGACAATAAGAATGTTCCGATAATGCGATCGTTCTGTTGACGAGTTGTAGACTTTTCACATTGGTGGATAGGAAACAATATTATTGGAACGTTTGGGTGGAGGAATGATTATTTCGAAACGGTGTTTTGTGTGGTTAGCTGCCTAGCGTACTGTGCCAAAGCAGTCTCACTGTTCAAACTATATCCAAATTCATTGAATTCATCTTGATGTACTCAACTGGCTGCGGAGTGTTTAAAAATATTTACTGATCAATATTTAATCAGCAATTAACTTCAATTAAGTGAATGAACACGCTTTTGGTGCTGATATAAAACCAATATAAAACATTTTGAAGTGCATTACATTTTGATTGATTCATTAATTTATGAATGAACGCATTATAGCCATTCTTGGGAATCGTTATACGAAATGCAAAGTAACAAGCGAATTTGATTGAGAAACAACGAAGTAAGTGGTAAATATATGTAGTGCAGTGCATAAGTTTAACCGTTCGTATTTCTCATCTTGTGTGTGGAAACTGATTTAGTTTCACTTTTGTTTCTTTTCACATTTTTGAATTTTTTGCGTTTTATGTGGTGGTGGTGCTATTTTTCATTTCATTTTTGTTTTCATTTCGTTTCGGTTTGGTGTTGATATATGTATTGTTTTTATGAAATTGAATGGCTTTCATCATGAGTTGCTGTTAATCTGCAAGTTTATTTTTTGGAATATAATAAGATTCTTCTTACCAATGAACTTGAAAATGAGCCGAATTCAGATAGCATCTTATAAGAGCAAAGATAAGGATAAACTGCAATGTAGAGAAAAGTCGCTTTTTTGTTCTCAGCATCTCTCTTTCCCTCACTTACCAACGAAAAAAGAAAAAACGAATTAAACGAAATTCGTTCAGTTCGATGATGATGATGATGGTGATGAGAAAAAGTCATGCGGAGAGCTCGGAGTCATGACGACGACGACTGCTGCTGCTGCAGTGAAACGGAATAACGGTCACTTGGCTGCATCTGGATCTGGCCCTGGGTCAGCACGTGCTCGGTCGTCAGCAAGTTGTCTACCAGCAACAGTTGCAAGCAGCAACGCAGTGCTACCACCATCAAGCGCACGACGACGTTGGATGCTTCTATCGAGTAAGGTTGTGTCGAAGGTGCGCAACGAGGCAATGCAATCGCTATCACAACAGCATTCGTTCGATTCGGATTACGATAACGATTACTATTTGTACGGTAGTGATGGCTTCAAATCGTTCGGTTTCTTCGCTCTATCGGCTTTTGGTGAGCGATCCGCAGAAGGTACGAGCACATGGTATCGCCTGATCTCGTCCACTAAACCGGACATTAATTTGGATTTACACTTTTTGGACGCTTTCAAAATGACATCGATAAAAGATTTGGTTGGTTTCGATAATACGGGTAATGTGCGATTATGGCCCTCGGAGGAGTGCCTGGCTGAGTATTTGTTACAAAACGAGGCGATTTGTAAGGGGAAGCGAGTGCTGGAGTTAGGTGCAGGCATGACAGGTTTAGCGGGCCTGGTGGCCGGATGGATGGGCGCAAGTCTAGTGTATCTGACAGACGGCAACGAGAAGTCGGTGCAGAATTTGAAGTTGATCATTGAGCACAACTCGTTGGGATTCATGTGTAAGAGTGCGTTGTTGGAATGGAGTGGAGAGCGTTTAGAGGTGGACGAGAAGTTCGATGTGATATTGTGTGCAGACTGTATCTTTTTTACGAACACACATCAAGCACTTCTGGGATGCATACACGCACATCTGAAGGAGGAGAGTGCTATTGCTAGGGGCACACACGATAGCGCTCATGGCGGTATTGCCTACATTATGGCCCCATCACGTCGCGGTACTGCCCAACAATTTCTGTGTCAGATTTATCAAGAACGCAATCGATGGAAAAATGTCCAGGTGGTTTTCGAGTTTCAACGAGCCATTCAACGCCGTATCAAGCTGTTTGAAAATGAATTATTCTATAATGCGGATATTCATAGACCAATTTTGTTTATTTTAGAGAAGTGAGATTTGAACGAATACATTTGCCGATTGAAATGCATTTTATTTGTTTTGTACTTTCACGTATGAAAGGATGAAGAAGAGACGTTTCGAAATCAATTTCGAAATGTGTCAGTGTATTGTATGATAACATATGCTATTAGCTCATTTATGTGGATTATGCCTCTGATGAGTGTTTTGTGTGCAATAATTGCTCTAGAAATGAAGAGAATACAAATGCAATGAGGAGTGGGTGGCAATAGAAAATCTGATGCAGGAAAATTATAAATTGCAGATTAAAGTGGGAAGGGGAGAGGGATGTGTTTCATAAGCAAACAACACCTGCGTTACTGCATATCTGTCTTTTTCATGAATCTCTGTTACGTTGTAATTTATTCATTCCCAGAGCATTTTAAGACAATGTGTTCCATGAGATGATTTCCAGTTTTATTCAAGTAAATTTTCATTCTGAAATCTTTTCTGTGTAGTGCCATATTAATTTGATATTACATTGCAATAGCGCAAAAGATGTATTGTTGTGATTTTTTTGGATCCTTTTTTTTTCAAATTACGTTTATTCCTTCATTCATCGTATTCTAAAACTAACAAAGATTTGTCTGATGCTTTTGAAATTTCAAGTGATTTATTTTTGCTTGCTGTATTTATTAATTTTTTCATGCATTCATTAATTGTCAACGTTGTATTTATCATTACTTTCGTTTTTACTATGCTTCCTTTTCAAGTTAGCATTATTGTTGAGTATTTTCACTATTATAGCTGTTTGTTGTAATATGCTGTAATTCATGATTGTATTCGTTCATTTTGCTCATATTGTCAATTGCATTTTGACGAATGCTTCAAATTTATCGTTTCTTCAATAAACCTGGACAATGATTTTCTTCGAATCGCCTTGTAGTCAGTAAGCGGAGATTATGGGTGACTATGTAAGTTTTGTTCGCCTAAAATTCTTCCACTTTCAGCCATATCAAAATAAGTTATCTTTTACTAATAAGTGGAATGACAACAGACTGTTGTACGTATCGCATATTATTGCGCGATATGATGTCTTGTTGTATCCTATTATGGCATTGAATATCGGATTGTTACAATAAACTGTTAGGGTGTCACAGCAATGAATCCTTACTAGTAATGGTTATCAAAAGGAATCATATTGTAAATNATCTGGTATTTCTATTACATTCTTTCCAACACAGACGAAGGATACCAAAGAAGCCGCAGTTGCTTCGGTCAGTTTCAACTTTTAAACTGCCGACTCAGTTTCCTTCGCAATTATTCAGTTTTTTATCTGTCTGATGCACTCACAGCCGGAACTGTCACAAACGAATTATCAGATGTGTGTTTTCCGTCATAATATAAAACTACTGTTGATTCGAAGTGGTATGTTAATATTACTGATTAAATGGACGTTTGTGCATGTTTGATGTGACATTATATTCGCATGGTGGTAATTCACTGCGTCATGTTGCTGCTGCACGGATCATTTGAACAATAAATTGAAATTCGCAGTTTTCACATTTAAAATGCGAAACTTTTTTTTAGCGTTTACTGATGGCCATTCATTTTGCGTGTATGAAGCTAGGAGATGAGGTGTTGAGTGAGGTGAACGAGGATCGTGCTGAGATGAGCCGAGACACTGAAGGACTGCAGTTCGACGGGTGTGTGCTTGCACAGCTGGCGTGCTTAGTGTTGGATACGTTGTGTGACACTTGGCCTGAGGAGTTGTTGCGATTTGCGAAGTGAGTTAGTAGTTAGTTAAATTTCTCATATGAACAGGGGAATCTGGATTATGAAGGATCGCAGCATATCAAAAAAGAGTCACTCGTGAACAGAATTTCAGGATACTTCAATTGCTAATAATAAGTGTCCGGATAAAATTGTTTTGAAACTGTTTTAAGGCATGGCAAAAGATCGATCGTTAATGTGAGCGATTTGTTGATGTTGGTGAGGAGAAATGACGATTTGGTGAGTAAATGACCATTTGATACTAATATTAGACGGGGTTTCACTTGTGTTCGTTACATTCTTTATTGCTGTTCATTTAATTAGGCTTCAATTAATTTCAGGTGAAGTTCGTGAATGACGCGTCAAAGACGTTAAAGTCGACATCAGTTAGACGTCAGAAGTCGTCAACAAAATCATCTCGCTCAGACTTTCAGGATAGTGAGGATTCAACAAGTGCCGTCATCAGACGAACCAAATCGAATGTGACGGCGAATCGGAAGCACAGCAGAGCGGCATCGAAAACCACAAAACAAACTTCCATCACCGATATGAATACGATCAAGATAACCAACTTTTTCGATGAGTATGTTGATTTGACGTGAAACGGTTGCTTAATGCCAAATCAAAGCAAATGCGAAACCAAACTCTCAGCAAACAGTCAGTCTTCACTAACTGACTGCCTTCTTTCAGCGATTTTGAATCTACGAAGCAGCATCCGTCCACGTCGAACACACAAGATGCTGTGAAATCAGTTCATGGCGATGGCAATGGTGATACGCATGAAGTTTTTTTGATGAATGATGCAGCAGCGAGTGCGATTGCATCAGAACAAAATGCAGGTGCTGAAGGCACGCCACTTCCTTGCCAGAACAATTTCATCATTGGTAAATTAAATACATCATGTCCAACGAACTGCAATGGCGCTTCATGCGAAATTAATTCATTTTCATATGCGTTCATTCTTAAGCGTTGACCAAAAACTGCAAAAAAGCGAAATTTCTTCACAAAATGATCATAAATATGCATCGATCTTTTGCAGGCTCGAAAAAACAAAGCGAAACAAAGAAAGATTGGGAACTGAAGGAAAGCGAGTGCAAAAATAAAGTGACCAGTGGAGGGAAATTCGGCAAATGTGATACGGAAATTTGCGATCGAATATTGGAAATGGAGTACGATCGCACCGTTATGTTACCGAGTACATCGAAGGGTGCCACTGGTGAAATTGTGGATAATATGAAAGAGAAGTATAGGACTGATGATCAGGTTCCAAAGCTTCCACAAGGACAACAGCAAGAACGAGGTGAACAACAGTCACAAGGTATAGAGGTGATATTCGAGAGGAATCGCATTGAGGAGATCCCTTTGGAAGCGAACATTACGACGAATAATTTGAATCCGTTTGTTGCGAAGCCGAAACTGAAAACGACTTCAGAAGGCAGCAAAACTCCGGAAGACGTTAGCAAAGGTGCACTCAATCATGAATGTAGTGAGGATATTCTGCATTGGGGTGGTGGCAGTAGCAATTCAAGAGACATGTTCAACACACCGCACTCACCGTTAATATTATGTCCTCCATCAGAATCAGTTGAAAGTTTGTTATTTGATTTGATTCATTCAGCTAGTAGTATTCAAAACTGTAAAAATAAGCTTGTAAAGCTGTTGATAGCAATAGCACAATACTAACAGCGATATCTTCGTATTGATAATAACAGAGAAATTACTAATGATAAAAATATTAATGAAACTGATAGCAATTGATAAGTGATAATATCCTTATTGTCATATCAGCAATGGAGTGATCATTATGATAAATTTTTCAAGAGTTATGTGCAACAAGAAACACTCACGTGACAAACGCTACAACGGGAAATTCTTCAACTTTGAATCAGGTCGGGGCTTGGTGATTTTTCGGTGCTTGTTCACTCCATCGAAGTGTTGTTCCTGAATATCAATCATCGTTAACCATTTTCTACGTCAGCATATGCCTCTATTTGAAGATGTGTTACGATAAAATAGTCATTTCGTTTGCATGCTTTCAGCCCGGACCGTGCAGGAATTTATCGCAGTCATTCGGTGAACGACAAAACGATTATTTAAAATTGCAAAGTAAACAGAAAAGTAATTTATCTGAAGATAGCACAGGTCAGTGGTAGTTTCTTCGCGTTGTTTGTATCATTATCATTGTTACTATTATACTGATTGTGTTTTATTTTTTGAATTGTTTTTGTTGTTTGTATTATATATGTATTTGGTCGGACAGATATTCGTTTGTTGATTTTTGATAATGGCTGATTATATATAATGGTGGTAGATTTTCCAATAATAACAGTAACAATAATAATAGTGATAATAATAATGATAACAATAATAAAGCAAGCGTTGTTGCAGATTCGTTGTTTTGGGATGCGGTTTGCGTTGATGGTTCAGCGAGTACGCAAAAAGCATTTAGCGCAAAAGTCGAGCAAAAGACCAATCAAAAAGATATTGCTGAATCTGAGACAAATAATCTGGATGGTCAGTGATGTCTTCTTGCAGTTAGGGTCAAATGTCTTCAGCTCATTCGCTGATGCTCTGATCGATTTTATTCGATTAACTGGGCGTTTAGCACGTGCACAGATGAAGAATCAACTGCTTTACCTCCATTTCTCACTTTAAATTTTCAGACTTTTTTGAATGCGATATGGATTTTGAATTTGATGATGTTGTGAATGAAAAGGTGTCGACGCAAAACGAGTTGAATCAGCATCCAAATCGAACATACCCGAATAGTCTAAATTCTGAGACTGCTAAATTCGTTCAGACGACAGATACTGCTGCAAATATTGACACGGTGATTGTGAAAAGCGTCAGAAATATTCCACCAATGGAAAAACCTGCAACATCGCGTAAATTTCTTTCGAATATCACATTTAAAAAAAGATCCTTCTTAATAGATATTCAATTACCTGATTAATTTTTCGACGGAATAATTCACTCGGTGATTGACAGAATTTAAATTCTGTCAGTTTTCTCGTTTACATGATGCAGTGTGATCTTATCTCGCGCTATAAAATAATTTGCTTGATATCTATGGCACTAAGTTTAACTGTCGATACTTTATAATTCATGTTCAGTTCTGATTTGCTCATCACTTTTATGTTACATGTTTCGAAACCTTCATGTGCTTCTCGTTTATTCGTCACCAAACTTTCGGTTTCAGACTTTTCTGATTTCAATTTCGAATCGGACGACGATGACATTTTCTTAGAGAGTGTTGCAAAAGAACAAGCACCAACGACAAAAATTGACGACAGCATCAAAAAAGGGAATCAAGCCGTTTCGGACGGATCTGTCGTCTTAACTGTATCGCACACCAATAAAATGTATACTGTCATCTTATTTATCAACTGATTAAACAATTTATTCTTGATCACTGCATTCGTCATCTTTCATATTTCGTTTTTGGTTTGGTAACTGGCAGGGATTTAGTAAGCGATTGGTATTTTTCGTTATCACAAGTTTCAATTCAGTTTTTGTAATATTTTCTATTGAGCATCTCAAATAGCAGTGCAATATTCAAATCGTTACTGGACAGGTACACGCATGATATATTGAAGCTATTATTGTCATCATAACGGATTTAATGAATGCATTCCTATATCTGCCTCCTTCTGAAATTACGTGCCAGTGCGTTTCGAATCGAGAGAGGCGATACGAACACGTCCATGAATTGTTTATTTACATGACTTACTGAGTATAGATACAATCCGTATGCACAGAGTGATGCATGAATATCGTTCTATTGCATCAAAAACGATATCACAGTAATCATAACGAAGCATGTTTGATTCGGCAAATGTTTTAGTGATGATGCAGCGAATGAGAGCGTGACAAGACAAAGAAAGGATTCGTTTGATGATGACGAATTTGATTTGGATGCGACTATCTTCGATTGATCACGTAGATCAACGTTGCTTAACACGGGCGCAAGCAATCTGTAGAGGATGGATGATTTTGGCAAAATAATAGATTAGATAACGGCTTGACCACAAATTTAGCTCACCATAGTCAGTTGACGACTGACTGTAAAAGTTGAGAACCACTGATGTAGAGTGTCGTGTATTAGGAGTTTGAATATTCAGTTGTATGTTTATTCAGTGATTCATGTATTGTTCACTAATTTATTTGTTCCTTTCTATGTTCGTGTGCGATTCTTTTTCATTTGTTTTTTGTTTGTTCCGATAATGGTTTCGTTGTGACTGTATAATATTTTAGCAACTTCGAAGGTTTACTATTGAAGATTTTATTGTGGATTGATGAATGTGAATCAGCATGAAAAAAAATTGATAACTGACTTTTAAGAATTTCACAGTTTCATTGTTTTGTTGTCTCAATATTACGAAAAAACCTCTATCTCCTCAGCTAAGCAAAATCGCTCGGCAAAATGTATGTTTTCCTGAATGTAGAGATCCAGCTGGATCGAATGATGC